TTTCCCGAGTTCGACCCCGCCGCCACCGTCAACGAGGACGAGATGAAGAGCAAGGCTGGAAAGGAGCGATGGCGCAAGTTCATGATGGCGTATGAGAAGACGGTTGATGATTACAACTTTGGAACCATGGTCAGGAACAGCCCCAAGGTTGAGTATGAAGAGGATACGGCTATTTTTGTGCCGAGGATGCAGTTTTATGCTCTTGAGATTGCACGGTAAGTCATCACTGGTGTACCTTTTTTTTGTGGGAGATTCTAACTTTATGATTTAGAAACCGCGCTGGTTTGAACGACTGGATCTACGAGCAAGCCCAGGCCGAGAAGGCCAAGTCCAAGTAAACGACCACCAACTCACGACACAACAAAAAAAGTAAAATTGAAAACTACGACCATGCTGAGCCATGCGCCGACAGCCCTAGCCCAGACCAGATCACGCCACGAGAGAGGGGAGAATGAAAAAAGGTCGGGTCCAGGGTATAGACGCCGGGCGTCGAAAGGGATATCTTGATGAATATGCATTGTATCTGAAATAGAGCACGAGATGCCCTTAGGGATAGAGTCTGATGGGCTGCAATCTTCTGGATCATTCTGTGATAGCCTTTGCAAAATATACCAAGAAATTGGCTCCAAGCTTGTCCTTTTGCCTATGCAATCTGTGTGCCAGCCAATAGCTTTTTAGCAATTACATCTCTAAAATTCTGAGCCCGAATCTAAACAAGCACATTCAGAGTCTACCTATGTAAAGTCCTTGTTGTTTGCTTGCTTGTATCTGCAGCCTTGAACTCAAGAAATGCCATGCAAGTACACGTAATGATAATAGCGGGGTACAACCTCGGCTTCAATCCGCTGTGAACCTCTGTCACAACGACAACTCTTGACCTCTCATCATGAGTTGAACAATACGTGCAATTTCTCATTTAAAAGCCCGCGAATCTATCAATTATTTGCACTTGAGTTTCTAGAGCGCGCAATTCCTTTACCTGGACCCGATCGATAAACCTCGCTCATCATGTCATCTACACCATCCCTCCTCCTCCTCCCATCACCACCCCGTCCTTCATCTCCCATAACACTCTCCGCCGCATACCGTGATACCCTAACCTCACTCCTCCTCAAGCTCAAATCATCTCCCACGCCTCAAACCCTCGTCATCGCCCTCGCCCTCCCGCTCCTCGAGGGTCCGGCCCCACGCGTCAAGTCCATCCGCTGGTCCACGGCGCAGTCCCTCCTTGCGGGGCTGTACACCATCATCTCAGTCATTTGCGCAAAGGAGGACATCCCCGTTGATGTTGGAGCCGGGGTGGGGAGTGTGGATGTTAGAGTCGTTCTTGTTGATCATGCGCTTGGGAGACGGTATGAGCCAGACTTTGATGGCGGGTATGAGGCCAACTGCACTGCTGTACTGGACATTGCTGCTTTTGCGACAAAGAGGAGACCCTGGAAGACTGTCTACCACCCAAGCTGCGAGACGGGCTACGAGTTGCTATCCCTGTTTCTCAAATTTGCGGAGGGAAAGCAGACGTTTACACAGAGCCAGCTCGTGGCTATCGAAGGCGGCATCAGTTTGACGACAGAGCCTGGTACTCTATCATCAGACCTCCAGAGAGGCTTCAAAACTGTCTGTCTAGGCGGGACTTTTGATCATCTTCACCCAGGTCACAAACTACTCCTCCACACTTCCGCCCTCCTCCTGGCAATCCCGGATAAAAAATCTACAGAGACGTGCACCCTCATCATCGGCATATCAAGCGATGAGCTCCTCGCCAAGAAGAAGTACGCCGAAGAGCTTCAATCCTGGGACAGCCGTGTACAAACAGTGCTATCCTTCCTAAGCACACTGCTAGAGTACGACACAACAGCTCCTCAACCCCCAACGACATCCAAACCTGGCGAACTAGTAGCTTCCCTCCGCGACGGAAGGATCCTCGTCCGGTGCATAATCCTCCGCGACCCCTTCGGCCCACCAATCCACGAGGAAGACGCCGACGCCATCGTCGTGTCCGCAGAGACGCGAAGCGGAGGGAAAGCGATTAATGATCGCAGGGCGGAGAAGGGGTGGAAGCCGCTAGAGGTGTTTGAGATTGATGTGCTGGATGCGACAGAGGTTGGGGAGGGGGATGTCAGCAAGACGGAGGATTTTGCGGCAAAGATTAGTAGTACGACTATTAGACAACAGAGGGCCGAGGCCAAGAGACAGTCATGAGGGATGATGGGTCATTAATTATTAGAAGAGACGGGCATAGCTGGACTCGATCAAGTCGCCTATCGTTGCCATGTTGGTTTAGCCTACAAGTTGATGAATGAGACTAGTCACACTAAGAATAGACTTCATACAGGACACAACAATAGTGCGTGAGACAGGTTCATTTATTACATGTTATTACAGCCCGAATCGTTGCTTCGTGGAGCCTTGAACAGACCAGCATTCTCCTAGAGACTTGCCCCCCTAACACCTCCGTACTACTTGTACTCAGTACGCCCATCAAATCCATTATGAGACTAGGTCTATTTTGTGGCCCTCCCACCAAGCCAATACAATCTCGCTCACACCCTCAAAAACTGATCAATGTCCACCCTCTGAAAGCAGCTCACGTGCCCAAACTCAATCCAATGATGAGCCAAGCGGTCATGACTGACGAGGATGAGCTGACCGTCGATATAGCTGCTCGAGGTGAAGCCCGTGTCGGAGATGTGCCCCTTGCTGTTGACAATCCTCGCACCGCTAAAGTGCGGATCGGTGGCTTCGCCGACGAAACCTCCTGGTCCGAGATCCTCTGCAACAAACGAGAGTTCGCCGCGTGGTACGTTGGGGTCACCGGTGAGTTTGATGGCTTCGAGTCGTCCTCGGTGGGTGCGAGCCACGGCCTTTCTCTTCTCCCACTCCTGATCCGATTCTATCTCAAAGCGGACAATGCCCAGCTCTTCGTCCGTCAAAAGTTCATCATCTTCATCGTCCGGTTGATGTATGAGCAAGAACTCGCATCCGTGGGTGCTATAGTCGCCAGCATAGATTCCTCTCCATGGTTTCAAAGGCGTGGGCGTATAAAGCTTCGGGTCGAGTGTCGAATATGTAATCAACTCTTCTCCAACATGCATCCCGGGTAAACCGCCAACAGCTGATGGATGCAACTCGCGAAGAACATTGACGATACCCGTCAACCCAGCAGCCCGGCCAAGGCGAGTCATGCCGCCCGCCATCTCCATCCACTGGCGAATGTGAAACAACTTTTCCGATACCTCTTCCCTTCGCTTGGGCCTGTCGTACGGGGCAGTGAAGGGTAAGCCGGTGACGACAAAGTTCGGTTGACCACGAGTGCGATGATCCGAAGGAATCGCAGGGGTCGGCCATACTTGGCTGTAGGGGAAGCGCTCAGAAATCATCTCTTCGCTTATATCCCTTTCTAGCTCACGCGCGAGCATAAAGTTGCTAAACATGCCGTCGACACGATCCTCCAACGCCATGGGCATTTCATCCGCATATCGGTTCGCATCAGGGCGGCTAAAGAACCTGCTCACGTCCGTCTCCACGTTGGCATGGAACTGAAGAATGGGTTTGTCGAGATGAAGCTTGACCTGAGGGTTAAAGTCGTGGATCACAACGTTGGGGTGGCCTTCCCACTGGAAATAGTCAGGCCGTCCACGAGCCGCCAGCAGTTGGTAGCCTTCGATGCATCCACGGCGAGGATCATACCGGACAAGCATGACCCTTCCGGTGAGATCGCGATCACAGAACCAGATCTTGTGGCGGGGTAGAAACCACAGACGGTCGTGGGCGACGTAGAGCTCATGATAGCTGCAGCATGGGTGAGGGCTAGTGAGGGTCACATCAGGGACGTTTTCCTGGACGAGAGGGTGCCAAAGAACATCGGATAACGCATGCTCTCGAAGCTCGCGACATGTTTCGGATACACCTATGAGTTCCAAAGGCGACAGGTGAGAGAGGATGGTGGTTATGAGCTCCGAGGGAAGATCCAGAAGGAGGCAGACCCCGGATGTTGGTGAATGCGACTCTGATGGATTCCCGTCATCTACTGAACGGGTTAGCTGGTGATAAGAGACAGACCCGAATCAGAAGCAGCGTCGCATCGAAACTTACCGGTGGGGTTTGATCCTTCCCCGAGCAAGTCTGGGCAAAAGCTCGGCGTCGCAGACTGAGGTATCGCAGCTGGTCCAGGGGGCACGGACGCAGCGTCGCTAGGACCCGACATTTTTAGGTGACGATGAGAGCTGTAGCAGGGTCGCGGCGATCTTTTCTAGGGAAGAAGAAGGGGGTTTATTCCCGGATGCCAAGATGGAAAAGAAGCGAGGGGGAGTTTCTGCCTTAGGTGTGATGAAGATGAGGTGGTGATATCACGGGAGGATGTACGTAGGGCGATATAGCGGGGGTCGGCACCTGCGGGCTCCGACGCCGGCACCTAACACTGACGAACCTGTTCAAAAATAAGAACGCATATTATGTGGGGACATGCACAAATGTCTCACTATTATTTATGTCAACTGTTGTGCTGTGCAATGTTTATTATGAGGCAGTTCAAGGCCTTGGTTGCTGGTACGTACCCAACTAAACGGCTTTGGGCTCGACATCTCGAAGCGCCGGAAACAACAAACACCAAATTTGCCCCTTTGTCATCAGGTCATCCCGCTCGTCTTTGCAACCGTGCCCTGATCTCTGGTTTGGTCCAACATAATCTATTGCGTCTTGAGTGTCATCCCCAAGACCGTTGTTTCGCTCGTCGCATCGTCGATCTCAGTCTCGTGAGCCACTTGTCGACGTCATCTGAGCTTCATCACCACATGGGAATACCTTCATCTTTCGCCTCATTTCCTACTTTGCGCCATACCTTTAATACTCAGCGACTGAAAGGCTCATAATCACATCTTAATCCTTCTGCTCACAATCTCACGCCTGCAACTTATTCCCCACGTCTCGAACCTTCAGAGTGTCTCTCACCTGCATCACCCGTTACACCAGTCAAACCGGCTTACACCAACTTACTCATGATGAGCGCGTTGCTTCCGCTTATCTCGGAGATTCTTCCGATGATAATGCCCGCCTCTGCCAATATAACCCGCGCCAAACAGCTCGAGCCGACTCACCCGACTGTTGAAGGGCCCGTTATTGAGCGGCCAGCCGTCGTTGGGAAATGCGACAGGATGTGTGTATCAGGTGAGAATATGAGAGCTCATCCAGGCTCATGAAGCACCAGTTCTCACGCGGTATAGTCCTCACGGCGCGACCTCACCAAAACTCAACCGTCCGTCACAACAGCGAACAAGGTAATTCCCTCCCTCTTGTCTTTAAACCTCATTCTAACCTTATAGACGCCATCTTCTACGCCGTTTCTGGGAATGGTATCTTGGCCGTCAGTGAGTCAGTGGACTCTGACCCCAAAAATCACGAGCTATCACCCGGGGACTTTGCCTTTGTCCCAGCTTGGACCGAGCATCAGATCAAGAACGAGACAGATGAGGATGTTGTCTTTCTCGTCATTCAAGGCGGGCCAACTCCTTTACGAGCAGACTTGACTGACTGGGGCGGCGACATGGTCAAGACACGTAAATGAGGGTTCTTGATATAGTATGTATTCTTGCAAGCGTTTGTCTATTGGGTACTCTACCAATGTTGCAACTATGGAAGTGCCAGCCTTCCCGATTTACATCTCGATCGGACCAGTTGGGTCAAAGTCTTGCGACTCGGAGCGTCGTCAAACACTTGCGCATGGTCTAGCTTCGGGAACACGACCACTTGTACTCCACCTTCATCACCTTCCACACAAGTCTCGGCATCATCTTCCAAGTATTCCGCGACCGAAGCAGTGTCGACAATGAGATCTCGGCCAGCCAAGGTCACCGCAACGTCCCTCTTGAAGCCGCTGTCTCCCAGAGACGTCAGCAACTCCTCCTTCCAGAGGATATTCTCTCGCCAGAAGAAATGTCGTCCTAGGCAGAGCGCAACACCTGGATCGGTACTTGCAAAGTACCAGAGCTGCCACTCGTTGGCCCTCTTGGGCCTGCGCCGTGTAAAGTTGTACGCCACATTGGGGAGGTGCAACATAATTGTAACAGGGTCGATGAGTACCACAGAGGGAACACGATGCTGCAGACTGGGCGAGTGCAGCATGTGGGTTGTCAAAACGGATCCATATGAATGCGACACGAGCGCGACGTTCTCCCAACAGTGGTAGTCCAGGATCGCTGTCACCTGGGACAAGAACTCAGCCTTGTCTGGGATGGCAGACGTGAGGCGGAACGAAATGGGTAGAATCTCAATGGCGATGACACCGACGCTCCTCTTCTTATCGTCCGTCTTGTGAAGACCAGCCAGGAACTGCACATACGTCCAGAGCCCGATTCCGATGCCGTGGAAGAAGACGACGGGCAGTTGGCCCTCGGCCGTGTGAGGACGGTGCCAGTAACTGAGCTGAGAGGAGGGGGATGTCCGACCCGGCCACAACTCTTGCGGACGCGGAGGAAATACCCGAATCGCAGATGATCGAGGACGACGATAGTACTCGAAGCCGTGCCAGAGGAATGCGAGATGTGTGAGTTGATCGACGAAGAAGACGATCACGTACCAGGCAAGGCCGCGATACGTTGCCGTGATCTTATCGAGAGTGAGACGAAGACTTTGGACGTTTCCTCGACCACTCGGTATCTTTCGTCCAAGTCGTTCCTCAAGCAGAGTCACATACTGTTCGAGCTCCTCGTCCACCGCCTCATCTGGTTCATCAACGGAACCATCGCCTCGCTCAAAGAAAGCCCAGAGGAGGAACTCTTTGATGTTGTCCCGTCGAATATCATCAGGGTCAGCGCCCAGAAACCACCACGTCAGATAACTCTCTGGAGACGACACGTTCCTAAAGCACCGATCGAACAACACCCTCCGCTCTTCGCGCGACAACGGTGACGGGTGAACGGCGTTCCGTTTAAGCCGTCTCAGGTACGGCCGATAGATGAAGGCGTAAAACGTCCCCTCAGCGAGTAACGCCGCAAGAAGCACGCAAATAAGCGGAAAGGCGATGGAAAAGGGCGCAACAAGAGGCAGCAGCACGATCAAAAAGATGTAAATAAGAGGAGTGTAGCGAAAGAAGGCAACAGACAGGCGGATGAATATCCATTCGCCAAACGAGGTGCCGATCATGAGGTTCCGAATATGCCGGGTCTACCGGACTTGTTAGGCTTTAACTTTTGACAATACAGATGCAGTTTTTTCTGGTGATGAGAGAGAATTTGAGGGATGAAGTGCGTACATGATGACGCATTTGTTGAAACGGCTCTTGTTGGGGCAGGATGGGATGGATGCAGACTTGCAAGGATCTGGATCCCCCCTGGTCGTCAGGCCAGGATTATTGAAGAGATGTGGCTAGTGAGGGAGCACAGCCACGTGTTTCTGTCAACCAAATTCCTAAACGTTCAGAGCGGCCTCATATTTCAACCGTGGAGACAAGAGAAGATACTTGAAAATCCTGGAGCATGACCAAGAGATGACGGCCGGTGGTCTGATAAGATGCAAAAGCGTTGAACAAACAACCATTGTGCGAGGCAGCTTGAGTGGTTCAACTGCCATCAAGGCTGAGATTGGTCAAGTCTCCCGGATGGGTTTATCCGGCACGTGCTGATTGGTGAACCGTCTGGTCTGTTGTAGTAGTGGTGGATGCCTGGAGAAGTAAGGCTGTTCCAAAAACAGAGAAAAGAAAAAATTAACATCCTTTGACAGCTGTTTATGTATTCTACTTAGGCTGTATGACCACTATGTGATATTGAAATTGAGCGTCGACATAACGCGTCGGCCAGTCATTGAAGTGTCATAATCTGCAGGTCGAATGCAGTTAAGAGGTACTTGCACCGGAGGGCGAAGTAGTATCTTACTGGAAGTTTATCTCATCGGAGGATTTCTGTAATTCTTTTTTCATTGGCTGGAACCGACCCACTTGGAGGGATCCTGTGCTGCACATTCTAACAATCCAACAACCTAACAATCTAACAGTCCAACGCTCTAACAAGATCACCAAGCCTCAAGGTTCAATGCCACCGTTACTGTACATCCCTCGAGGACCCTTTGCTTGCAGGGCGTTACGCTTCTTACCCGAAATGACAATGGTCAACCTGCAGCCAAGTCTTTTGCTCAAAGAAACGTCGAGGTTGCGTGCGCATGCTGAAGGCTGACAGTTCAGCAGCAGTACGTACCGCTTCTGTACCTGGCGGCGGTTGCGCACCCCTGCATCTGCTGCTGTTTCTTTACCTTGACTCGGGGGAGGGAGGGGGTGGGCACTGCTGATGCACTGCAGGTTCGACCGCGGGTTCGGCTGGGCCTGGAAAGATGAGAGGCAATGGATACCGAATGCTGCGCCATGGGGTGTTACGGACCGGGTTGGGTATCTTTCCTTACCTAGAGATCTAGGACTACGCACACCCAGACCCCAGATCCAACACCGAAGCAAAGACACCTGCATATGTTATCGCGTCAGTCGGCTTTCGCACTCCCTCCCTCTTCAAGTTCCAAGTAACAGACGAGCCATACCGTACCCGGGCGTCACGACCAGTCGTCATTTCTTATGAACTGTGATGGGCAATTGACACCTCTCCACTAATCTCTCATTACACCATGTGCTCAGTTGACCAGGATCCGGGATTAGTGACAGTGATTCACTGTCGATAACCTCTTGTGTCGCATCATCTCATGCGGTACGTATACATGAAGTGTCCATGTAGGTATGCTTGTTTGCGAACCGCGCCGGTCGAAAGAATCGCAGACGTTGCAAGTTGTGGGTCTTCTCTTCCACGCCAAGACCCGCTTGAGCCCAGCCTACATCCCAGTGGTACATGCTCCATTGCGGTGTTGCCCGCTAAAGATTATGTACCAAGCTACCCGCGGTCCACCCATGATCCACAAGACCCACCGGCTCCATCAACTGTGTGCCCCCCGGACAACCTTGGAACCCCAGATGGAAGTTAGATCCATGGATCACTGCACTTCTTCATTCAATACAGCAAACCAGCTTCACACTCCGCCGCCCACTCCGCGGGCGCAACATGTACACTTGGATGGGAGTGGACACCAAAGATAGGGGGAGGAGGGGTGGATGACCTGGGCCTCCCACTTCGAGCAACATTTACCAAGGTGACCAAGAGGCAACCGCAACCTAGGTCAGCCAAGGAGATCATCGTTCGCCAAATCGCGGAAGGCGGCAATCGTGGTCTCGAAAGCAACGCACGAAATGCCCCATAGCCGGCAAACGGGCTTCGCAACGAATGGCACTTGGGAATCGCCTACGGTGAGTGTACACAGAGAGTTCGCCAACACAGAGAATTTGGAGTGGTCGAGGAGGTAGTAGAGCAGAGTGCTTCTTGAGGCTCCATTGCATGCCACTTTTGCTCAACCCGACGAGAGATATGATCAAAAACGATCCAAGAACCGCAATGAGAACTTGGGTGGGAGGGTAGACTGGGGTGAGGTTGTGTGAGGTTGAGAGCGCGGCAAGCTGATTGGCTCCGCGGGGGACTTGACCTCCGGACCTCTGGCATAAAGTCCAGCTCTGCCCCCCTCGACTCTCGTTCCTCCCATCTCTTCCCTTCTTCATCATCATTCTCCCCCATCATCAATCCACAGCCATAAAATATCCCACCCCTTTTAGTTGATTGAATTGCATCACTTGATACCCCCTAAGAGTCTCTCAAGTCCCACTAGGACTTTGTAGAACTCACACTGGGACCTCCTCGTCGTCGTCCTCGGCTGACGACTTGATATCGCATCCAGACACCTGGCATAGCTCCATCCCATCATCCACAACGACAATATGTCGTCGCACCATAAATTCATCCTGTTCCCTCACTCCCTACCGGCACCTGAACTCAAACGGGCTTTGGACCAAGCCTCACGGCTCGGCCACCAGCAAATTCGTGAAACGGTTGGACACTCATCGCTACCCACAGGCCGAGCCGAGCAGCGCGATCTCGGCGATGGTCATAGGCGTCGTCGCACAACCGTCTCGAATGGGGCTGACTACATGGGTGACGTTGACGCTCGTCCTCACACTGGTGGTAAAGTGGCATGGTCACGTGATCCACAACTGTTCCCAGACCCAGAGCCGGCCAAGATCGATCCGTCTTCCACAAGAGCTGGCCCAGCACATGGGGATCACTCAGAGCCCAGATCCCGTAAGCGACGCCGGGCTCCGGTCCCCCAAAACATTCGGGTTGATGGGGACGATGGTGGCCGAACCTCTCACCTCTCAAGGGACGAAAGGCTTTCGCATGCTGGGTCTTGGTGCCACTTGACACCCAAGGAATCCATCGAGGTTCATGATCCGGTTGTTGATGAGAAAGACATCCTGGCAGAGGACTGGATTCCAATGACACCCCGGGATAGTCGACTGTCCACTCCGGATCTTGCACCCTTGTGCACTGACTTTGAGTTTTGCCCATGTCATCCAGACGGCCTAGATGAGGACAAGATCAACGAAGACTTTTACTTCGTTTCGAGGTCCAAGATGGACATGCAGTGTAAGTTGGCACCCGGCAGGTCCAGGCCCAGGATGTGCTTGTTGTTGTCGGTTTGCTGACATGGTGTAGTGATTGATGCGCAGGCACATATTGCCCAGACCCGATCGGGGTCGGGGTCGATGGTGCCCCGATATGAGTGATGAGATTTGGAAACGCGACAGTGAGACAATGCTGGTTCAGAGTCTGTAATGTGGGCAGTACGGTTTGGCGTTGAGGGTATAAAGTGTGCAAGTTCTTGTTAATAGGTTACAGAACAGGGTCACCTGTCAACTGGTCAGTTCGAACATTTGTTGTCTTTGCCGTTCTCGTTTTGGATGGGTGAGGGGAGCGTGAAGGCGTATCCCTGTAGTCGTGTCGTGAGATGTTATCGGTGGGCTATATGAAACTGAGCGAGGATGCATAGTAGAATCAAAGGGGCATTCGATTCCAGAATTTAGCCAGCTATAAGCAAGACACTGTAGCTGGCGATGCATATGAAGATGATCAAGTGTTGTTCATTGTTGAATGACGTGTAGTTCATGAGTGACCAGCCATCGCTTGAGGAGGTGTGATGTGGGGCGTCACGTGGCAACCCTCAATCTAACAAAGACGATCTTCAGCCTCAGGCACAAACCAGGCAGCTGATTCGATGCTTCTCAATGAAGTCGCTTTACGGTCATTCTGCGCCACACTCTTCTCTGGCGGTGTACTCAACATGGAAGCATTAGAATGGGGGTTGCACCGCCAACGAAAGACGCGTCGCGGCGGTGAGCGTATCAACTCGGGCGCGTTACAACCGTTGGGGATGGTCTCGTCCACTGTAAGGCAGAGAATCTGAGGGCTGCAGCTTGCTTGCATCTGCCAGATGATGCCTGCATCCGACGCCCACGCCATGGTCTAGCAAAATCGAAAGGATACAGATGCGGGCAAGTCCCTTATTTGCCCGCTATTTTCATGCACGAATTTTTGCTGGGAGAAATGCCCGTCTCGAGCGGAGCAAATTTAGTGGCCGTCGCTTGTTGGTGATGGAGCCAGTGATGGCGCTTCTTTGGCATGTGCTGGCGGCTCACGACTTGAAAAGCCCTCACGTCATCAACTTATAAGACCATTATCAGTGCCACTTTCCTGTTTATCAATATCGACGCGACGGTCTTGTGAGGCCTTCTTTTCTTCATCTGTGTTCTTAAACCTTGCTCATCATTTTTTGTTTTTGCTATCGTCGATTAGCGGTTGGTCCATACGTCATTGAAAGATTTTACCTTGCTCTTAGCCGGAATCATAGAACGAAGTCCAAGGGCAGCACATAAAGATAAAGAGAAAGAGGAGCAAACAAGCGGATACAGCAGACGACAAACATGGCGGAGAATAATTACGTCCTTCGGGTCACGGCCGGCCCCGACTACGACGCAAAACAGCAGGTCGATGTCATTGTCAACACGGTTGAGCCCATCATCATCAAGAGCGACCTCGCCGACATCGAGCTCAACGTCCGCATCCAGGATTACAAGGGCCTACCTCGAAACTCACCAGAGACTTCAGCCTACTTCTCCACAGAGCCTCACGCCTACAACCAGGACCAGTACAGCATCTCATTCCGCTTCACTCCCAAGAAGCCTGCCAGTGACGAGAGCACTGGGATCAATGGCGCCAACTTGCAGTTTGGAAATGACTTTGATCACCCGATTCGCGACCGTCTCCCTCCTGGGTTCGGTACTGCCATGACCATTGTGCGCTGGTGGATCGATCCTGGCTTGGAGGGTGATGCCTATGCCGACAAGCCGTTTCTTTATGGCCCAGCTCTGAGCTCCTTCAACACCATCCACGTGGGCACCGGTGAGTATGACAAAGCCAAGGGTGGCCTCTGGTTCGAAGAAGGCGGTGATGAAGCTGGTCTCAAGGCTCGTGAGGACATTGGTGCTCCTCTTGACAACAAGGCCCGTATGAAGTGGGCTCTAAGGGCGGACAGCAAAGAGAAGTGGGTGTTTGAGTACGGCAAGACGTACGGCTTCGACTTTTTTAACCCTTACCTCGACTTTTCCAACCTCGCATTGAAGCTGCCCGGCTTTCAGCTACCGATCATGAAATACTGGGATGGCCAAGCACTCAGGTAAGATATGCCCCTCCCCTTGCTTTTGGGTACTGCACGCAAGTCCCTTGTCGATATACGTCCCTACGGCTCAGAGAGCCGTAGTAGGTACGGTCCTATTATGGTCATCTCTCTTACGCCGTTTTCGTTTACCCTCGTCTTAGGTCCGGTCGGAAACGCTCACATCAGCTCAGATACGTCCTGCGGAACAAAGAGACTGAGGAGACGTACCTCGTCATACTTTTCACGCTATATCACAAGGACTATGTCAATGAGGATGGAACGCTCAAGGAGGGTGCTGAAGAGTCTCTACATGAGCCGGCCCAGGCCCCCATCTCTGGGAATGACGGTACTTTTGACGATGATGAGGCACTCAAGGAGGCGAGTGAAAAGCTCGGGGCCAAGTGTGGAGAGGAAGAAAACGCGAGGACGAGTGTGGATGATGTCGACTGAGGGAACAACGACTACCTACAAAAACACGGGATGGGATCCGAGATGGGGTTTGCTCGGATTTGAAGCCGAATTTTCACGCTACGGTCTTTAGTTAGTCATGATTCCATAATACGGGTCGGATAATAGACTAAATTCTCTTCTCTTATATCTAGGAATCTCCCTCCTTTTGCTCCGTAATCTCAATTCGTCACCGAAGTTTGAGCCTCACCGTGTGGGAGCCACTCCGACAGGTGTGATGAAGATGAAGGACAGGTATCACCATGCACAGCACGAACTTCCGAATTGATACAGAGGCAGAAGTAGTTGTTGAACCAAGTATGCCGTGCCAGACTCCTCTGAGACACCAAAGATTTAGGAATATCCAGTTGTAGAACGGACTCGCCAGAGTGCGTTGAAAGGTGGTCATCTGGTTAATCACGTGATGACTCAGATCTGTCACCTTCTTTCAACCTCAATGGGACCTCCATTCCCATCAACCAACCTGACATCAAAGATGATTTGAAATCAGGATTAATTTCTACCCCATTCCTACTCCACGAGGGAACCCGGAGAACCCTTGGTTTCCGCACCTCCATGCGGTCAAGATCCGAAGCGGAAATGGTGGGGAAACAAAGCCGAAACCAAACCCCATCACCTCTCACGAGATCCCTCGAATCTCAGATCTTTGTTGGCGAGATGGCGTCCCGGTAATAGTCGGGAATATCCCGTATTCCCATTTTCCCCCCTACCCCTCATTTCCGAAGTCTGAGCGTGCAGGTTTGTTCGGGTTGCGCCAAGGAAAGTTGGTGTTCTCGGGGCTGCAAACTGTTGGTTCCTCGTGGCATGGTGGCATTGACGACATGCTCTCTCTGGACAAGCTGTTCATTGGAGATGTTCCCGACGCCCAATCAGTTCCTGGTCCTCCTTCCTCGGGTATGTGCGAGGAGCTGCAACTCCCCGGGCAGCTTGAAAATGCCGGTCATGGCGCCCGAAAGCCAAGAGGTCTAGATGCCACTAAGAGGGTTAGGCTAAACCGTTTGGCGTCCCTGGCGCCGACTCCAAGGTCATGTCCAGGTTATTCCCGAGGACGGGAACGGGAGTCGGGTCTTGTTGCTGACAACGGGAGGGATGCCGGATGATGCAACATGTCCATGTAGGGCGGCGGCATGTCAAATTGGGATGCTTGCCCGGGAACTATCGCTTTTGCTTTTTTGCCCAAGGTTTCTGTTGAGACACATGCTCGATATCATCAGGCGTCTGTTGAAAGACTGGTGGCAATCCCTCGTCAACACCTACCATGACGCTCAGTCCCTCCCTCACAAGCTACCATCCATCTCAGTGCCGCGCCGCAATGGGGATTCTCACCCTCGATGCCACTTTGGGTGCACAGAATCTGCACTAGCGTCTCTCGGCAGCTGACGCTCAAGCGAATCGTTGGGCCTCGTACTCGCGGTCCAGCGTGGAGGGCGGATCCAGTGCCAAGCAAGAGATTATTCCCGTCGAGATCCCGTTTCCTTTTCCTCATCTCCCGCTACCCCAGCATTGATAATGCCGGGGTTGTGCCCCCGGAGGCTGGACCACTGCATTTTTCTCTTGTTCCTCGTCTCTCCTCCTCCTATCTCTTTGTCTGTTCCTCCCTGATCTTGTCCTGTGACAACTCGAGCCGTCAGGACTTACAACGATCGCCTTCAGCGAGAAACTCCAAGATCCACACGAAGGAAGTCTAAAAAGACTTCGATACAAAGACATGGCTCAAGATATTGAGGCCAGTCAGAATGGCGGCACTTGGAATAGAGATCCTGGCGATCTCGAGATCAGCATCGAAGAAAGACTTCCATCTAGGACACCACAGCCGAAACTCGACGACAACGAGCCCATCTCTTACCTATATCTGACCCTCAACACCGTCTTGCCAACACCGCCACTGCCAAAAGAGGCAGGCCTTTCCGAATCCCAGGAACTCCCACCATGCCCCGACCTCAGGCCATACGCATCACCCTTTACGTTACCGGCAGCACGAAAGAACATCTTGCTTGCGTTGTCATGTATTGCTACAATGTTTACAGCATATACTGCGGGAGCTTACTCGCCTCCGTCGGCCGCAATGGCCAAGGATCTAGGGGCGTCACACCTTGCCGTTCTGGTTGGAATCACAACTTTCTGCATGGGGTTCGCCATCGCTCCTATGGTCCTTGCTCCGGTATCTGAGATTTGGGGTCGACGGCCTGTCTTTGTCTTTGCTGGGTTTGTCTATGTCATCTTTCAGGCCGTCTGCTCTGTGATGCCAAACCTTGCTGGGATGCTGATTGCCCGATTCTTTGTCGGGGTCGGAGGCTCCGTGTTCAGCTCAGTCGTTGGAGGAGTCCTCGCTGATCTTTGGGAGAAGGAAGAAAGAAACACGCCCATGGCCTTGTTCAGCGGATCAGTTCTATTCGGAACTGGTGCTGGACCTTTGGTTTCGGCTGGGTTTGTAAAGGCCCTTACTGATGATACCCTGGCATGGAAGTGGTCATTCTGGCATCAGGCCATTATGGATGGTCTGTTGCTGATTGCCATTCTGTTTCTCTTCGAAGAGACTCGAGGGTCTGTGTTGCTGTCGAGAAAGGCCAAGAAGTTGAATGAGTGGTATGAAGAGTTGGAAAAAGCGGGCGCCTATGGAGTTTGGGTTACCAGCACCCCAGAGGAGACGAGCGCCAGCTCATCCACGTCGACAATCAAGACCAGCCCCGGTCATCACACGGAACTCGAATACAATGGCATCCAGTCCAGGGAACGACGTCTTCAACGAGTTCGCTGGCTAGTGGCGGCAGATGAGCAACGCCCCCCTCTGGGCCAGATGATTGCAACATCGGTGAAGCTACCTTTTTACCTCTTGTTCACGGAGCCTGTCGTTTTCTGCTTTTCCCTCTGGGCTGCATTTTCATGGGGCGTTCTCTACTTGTCCTTTGCTGTTGTGCCGTATCTGTACGCTGCAAACTTTGACATGTCAAGTCGTGTCTACATCGCCATGATGGCGTCAGCAATCATCGCGACCGTGGTTGGCATTCTTCAGGAGAACTTGATGAAGCACCCCCTCTGGCAAGGACAGGATGATGAAAAGTCCGTGTCACAGTTTTGGCTGTTTATGAGGAAGCATTTCCCAGCGGATGCTCCAGAGGCGCGATTGTACTTTGCTTGCATCACGTCTCTTTTGCTTCCTGCCGGGCTGTTTGCCGCCTTTCTGGGCCCGACGAGTACAAGCCACTACTCCATTGCCATTGGGATTGGTCTTGCTAATTGGGGTATTTACTCGGTGTATCTGGCCACGTTTAACTACCTGGCTGATACCTATCACCTTTACGCCTCCTCGGCGCTGGCTGCTCAGAGTTTCTGCCGCAATGTTCTTGGCGGAGCGTTCCCGGTGATCACTGGCATCATGTTTGGTAATCTCGGGTTGAAGAATGCTGGCTGTGTTCTGGGGGGCATTGCCAGCGGATTGACACTTATTCCTTGGGTGTTGGTGCTGTTTGGAGAGAGGATCCGGTCGAGGAGTAGTTTTGCGATTGTGAGTATTTGCCCTGTTTCAGATGGTCAGCTGCTAACAAGCCATAGTCTCTGCAAAAACAATAACATGTTTCTTGACGGGGATGGATGTGTGGATGATGGACGTGGCGCTGCGCCCACACATAAGAAGAGAGTTGGCTGAAGGGAAAAGAATCTGTACACGCGTTCATGGTTTATTGAGCGCGCTTGATGATGGTATCATATGCTCCCATATTAATGTCCTAATGACCTAGATGCATTGCTGCTTCCATTCTTTCTATCTTGCCCCGTGTGTCTCGTCACATCGTCGCAGAAGCCTCCCTCGTCAGGATCCTCTGCTTCTTCTTCTTGCCGTACTTCTTCATGAACCGTAGAAATCTATTCTTGTCGGATCCATTTCCAAGTCCCCCGGTTTCCTTGAGCATTTGATCACATGTTCGCTCCGATAGACTCGTGACTGTCCTTGCGTATGGACTCCTGAGTCTCTGTAGATCTCCCACGATGGGTGGGAGGCTGGTGTTTCCTTCTTTGTCAAGGATGGGGGGAGGGAGCTGTACGCATCCTTCCCAGGGTCGAAGTGCCGTTGGAGTGTTCAAAGCTGATTGGACTTGGTGCTCGTCCAGTATTGTGTATCCGTCTCCGGAGTCCAGACAGGACTTTTGCCCACTGAGTCTAGGCCATATCGTCGAGGGCGCTACCCGGTACGTCTGTCCGCTGTTGACATCTGAGAACAATGTCGCAATGAACCGCGTCGTGTACGTCTCGTCGAAACCACACATTCGTAGGGAGTTGATTCGTCCTTTGAGGTGGATTATGTGGTTGCAGAAAAGGAGGTACGAGTCTGGACAGTACTCTGATTGGAGCAACGGCGACGGCATCGGTGTTTCGAACGGACTCGACACGGTTTCATCGGTCATCTGCTTCATGAGCTCGTCCATAGATGCGTACATCTCTGGAGACTGGAACCTCGTGCCTTCGGTCGAGTTGGTTCTGCTGCTACTACTCGCACCGCTGGAACGTCCTGTGCCTGGTCTTGACAGTGAAGGACTACGACGGCCGTAGAATCGTCGGCAGAGGAGAACCAGACTCTGCATGGGAAGAGACTCTTTTCGTTTCAGCTGCGAGTCTCCAAACTCGCAAACGAGATCCTCAACATGCTCGACATCGGGAAGAAGACAGGTAGCGCTATCCCCTGGTCCACAACCCAAACGCGACATGTCAATCTCGACAGCAATGCTCGTTGCATACGGCCCATAGCGATTCAGCCAGGCCGTGGCGAGGGGGTTAACCCTGCACCCCACAAAGGGCGAGAAGACGGCATGCAGCGTGACGCTCTGAAGGAACGCCACGAGAAAGTCGGCGCGAAAGGCAAACGAGACTTGGGAGTACGGAGTTAGAGGTAGGAGAGCGTCGGTTGGTGATGCGAGGTCTCCTTCTCGCCAGACATCGCGAGTGAAGAAGAGGCGGTTTAGACGTACTGGACGATCGACGACGGGGAGGATGAGGTTGCAGATTCGTTGCCGGATATCGTCTGGGAGGCGAAAGTAGCCCGAGTCTGGTCTTGAGCGTCCGTGATCCTCAAAGAAGCTGGTAAGAGTGTCAGAGAAGGTTGGAGTTTGGCTGATGCTGCTGTGGTAGACGGCGTCAAATGCGCGGTCCCAAGCAGGAAGCCCATTGCGATGAGAAGGCGGTTCTTGGACGATAAACCGCGGCGTGGTTGGCGGCGAAGCCACTTGGGGGTTTGATTTGCTCCTCTTGCGGGCGCTCGAAGGGTCTTGAATGTCAGTAGATCTCGATATATGCGCGAGAACATACATACTCATCATTCTCAAGAGTCCAAGGCGTTCAGAGAGGTCGTTTCTGTGCACTCTCACGGACCCAACACGACGGAGGAGAGATGAAGTTCGAAGTGATGAAGAGGAAGATGGTGAATCATCACCCCCTCTGGTGGGAGATGCTTTGTTTGGGGATCCCATTGTTTGTTACCGTTCGCCAGTTGCTTGACACTGCTGTGACAGTTTCCATCTCCCCTCTTTCTTTATGATGTTCTGACGAAAATGTTTTGTTTACCATTGACAACGACAACGACAACAAATAGCATGCGTGAATTAAACTCGGGAACAAGGAAGTAAAGCCTTTTTATACTTTTAAACTTGCCTGAACCCAAATTCACATAGTTCTCACCCAGATTACTATACTTTTCAAGTCACGGGACTGTATGTAAGTCAACTGAGTCATGAAACTCCACGCGGGAGTATTGAGAGACAAGCTTTCCGCAGAATGCAATGCGTAGAGATAACTTCATTGTTTACAAAGGTTTAAGGTCAAGCTTTTCTCCATGCACGATGACTCTTATCGAGGTGACTTATATAGATGGCATGGTGTCCTTTTTCCTTGTTCCCCAACTTGTCGTCTTTTGTTGTGTAATGGCTGAGACTCGTTCACCATTGTCAACTCGACCCTCCAACACACTCAAGCAATAACAACAACTCGAAATTTCGATTTTCTCATCAAGACGACAGGGAATTGACTCGAAATCACAATGAGTCCAGTTCCAAACACCGTCGGCCCCTTGCAGAGCCAAAACCCCTGGTCCATCGACCCCAACGATGTCCGAACAGGTGTCTTCTCCTACGCCATCCTCGGCCTGATGCTCCTCGCCTTTTTCGGCATGATAGCAGTCGACATGTTCCGCAAGCACCGAACAGGCGAACTCCAAGAGTCCATGAGCACACTGGGCAACTTCATCAAACTCCTGCTCATCACGATGCCCAAGATCATGCTGGACCCGAGAAACATGTACAAGGCGTGGATCCTCTTCACAGATCAGTTTCGAAAGGTTGAGAATAAAAGGTACGACAAGAAGAAGGAAAGCGACAAGAAAAAGGATACGCCTGAGAAGGAGTTTGACAGCGAGGCTATTATCAAGAGGATGCACTCCATGTCTTCTTCGGACAAGAGTCCCACCGACACATCCAAGACATCTTCCAAGGGAAAAGAAAAGGAGCCATTCTTCACCGGACCTCTGGATGAAGTCAAGCTCATCACAACAAGCTCATCCAGCTTTAAGACCGGTATCAATCTTAAACTCGGACATGGGACACGACACGGCAGCAGTTCAACAGGCGGCTGCGGCGCGGGATCCAGCAGCAATGCCGCTGGAAGGTCTGGATCTGATTTCTATCCTGGAGCTGTCGGTTATGGATTATACGGTTGTGGTGACCTTGGATCGGGTGGTTGTGCTGGAACAGATGGTGGAGCTGGAGCCGGATGCGATTAAACATTTTCGACGACAAACAACAAAGATTTACCACACCGACATCCCAATCCATCGGTAGGGCTTCGGTACATCGAGATGAAGTTGCTGGGTTAGGCAGAGAGCAAGCCGTGCTCGAGAACCTTGTTGGCCGTGGAAGGCATTGGAAGAGAAACGCTGTTGAGTTGGACTTTTAATACTTTGCTTGGAGATTGTTGCCATGGAAGCCATGGTGACCCTCTCGGCAGCTTTGCGAGAATTTCTGTCCTCATCATCTTTTTGTTGGGGCTTTGATCAACACCTATTCATAGACAGAGTGTACAGTCGAGTTGTCTGCCTATGAGACACACACTTGACAATACAAAAGTTGAACATCTAATCTGATCAAGAGCCTGAACGGAGTAAAGACAATGGTCATATCCGAAACGGCCGGCTATCCAGTTCATTACAGGGTTCTATGTTCGTCTTGAACGTCAGCTGAATCTCACAGCCATGCCACAATTGTAGTCATCGAGCGCCCCCTGTCGGAATATGACCTCGCCAAGGCTTGGACATCAGCACTGGATCTCGACAAGTCAGATACTCCACCCACGTATAGGCAATGAAGACGCTCGAGTACAATCCCTAGTGCATAGATAGATAAATAGCCGTGACGCCGCCCGGATCTCTCTAGCATGTCGTTCAATTCTGAAGAACTTGACTGTCAACCGCCATGGACGCCATCCAGGAACTCTTTGGGACCAACCCACAACGAGGCCAGCTTCCCAAGATTGAAAGCGATGATGCATACCCAGCATCTTTGCTCGACGACACATATCTTTTCCGGGACCTGATTCTTACCTGGACTTTCTACTAAAATGATGTGCTCGACCCAGAGAAGCTGCATTCATCGCTGGCGAAGTTGTTGGAGATTGGTGACTGGAGGAAGTTTGGCGGTCGACTGAGACTAAATGTACCTCTTTCAGTATCTCAAAAATGATCTGATCTGACAAGTCGTTAGGAAGATGACAGACTCGAGATTCACGTTCCCCAGGAGTTTACTCCTGAAAGGCCATCTGTGAGATATACCCACGAGGCGTTTGACATGAGTATCGGCAGCCACCCTCTAGGCAAAAGGATGCCAAAGGTCACTGAGAAGCCATCAATTCAACATGGAGCCCAAGAGTTTAAAGAGTTTGCTGTGACGAAGGACGATCCCGTGAATGGATCTGACCTTTTCAAGGGCGACAAACCTCAGATGTCACTTCGGATCGTGTCCTTCTCAGACGCAACCCCGGTTTCGCTTGTGTGGCCGCACTCTGCCATGGATGCTGTGGGGCTTCAAGCCATGCTGAAGAACTGGTCTCTTGTGATGGCAGGGCGGGAGTCAGAGGTCCTCCCTGTTCTTGGAGCAAGAGACGACATGGTCTACGGCATTGTTGAACCACCGACCGGGACGGAAGAGGTAGAGCAAGAGGAATCGCATCTCGCCCAAAAACGTATCAGTGGCTTCAAGCTGGTTCTCTTCGGTCTGCGGTTCCTTTGGGATCTGCTCTGGCAGGGAGTTTGCCAATCAAAGTCCATCTTTCTACCCAAAGAAGCTGTCGCAAAGCTGATGCGCCAGGCTTTGGAAGAGGCGACCATCACGACACCTCCTACTGACGAGAAGCCCTTTGTCAGCGAGGGCGATGTATTGGCGGCATGGACGACAAGGCTCATCGCATCATCAGATCCCCGAAAACTACCAGTGACGACACTTACAGCGGTGAACTTGAGATATCGGTTCAAATCTCCAATGCAGACGACTGGTGTTTACACTCAGAATCTAGCTAGTGCAGCTTATACGTTTCTCCCGCCAGCGATGGTTAGGGGCCCGTTAGGTCCGATAGCCCTTGCGAACCGTCAGCATCTCGAGGCTCAGACGACTGAGCCCCAACTAAGAGCGATAATGCGGACTGTCATGGCTGAAAAAGAAAAGAAAGATACCACGCTTCTATTCGGAGAGCCCAACATGTTACTCGTGCTCATCAGCAACTGGACCAAAGCAAAGATTATGCAGGCAGCCGACTTTAGTCTGGGCAGGGCGAAGGGGCAGAGACAAGGACTAATAAACCAGGCACCATGATACAGTTATCTCCTTCAACTACGAAGCAGAGGATAGTGACTAGGAATGCCATGGTGATCAAGGGCAGGGATCACAAGGGGAATTACTGGCTTGAGGGATCTCTATTGCCACGGACTTGGGTCAAGGTTGAGGAGGAGCTTACAGCGTTGGGCTGAGACATGAGGGGACAACCCCTACCTATCTAGACAAAGATGCATGTGTCTCACGCAGAAAACCAAAGATAGCAAAAAGACCCGAGATAGAAAACAACAAATGTTTCGTTCGGCGATTGCTTCACCTATAAAATGAATGGCATTTGTTATCGTCCCCTATCAAGGTCGCATCACCAATCTCAAAAGTGGCTGCAGGTGACTTACAGGGGCCCCTTTCACTAAATTACCCCAGCTCCGGCTTCTCCAGACAGCTTCCACTTGGGGTCACCTTCGGTGTGTCAGCCAATCACACGCTTTTATGAGGTGTCAAGTGACGTACTTGTCATGGCTTCCCGCGGCATCCATCGGCGATTGCTTCCCTCTAATCGGCGACCAAAACGATGTTTCTTGTGTCAAACGCGACTCTCGAGTGTGACCATTTCACGATGATTGTACTTGTCTCGGCATCTATTGCTCTCGAGTTCCGACTCCCGGCCTTGTCCACGTGTCGCCTCCGGTTGACCGCTGCCCTCAACAAACATGGCCTTGACATCTCCCGGACATCGATCTCATCTTGAGATCTGACTTCCAACGTCATCTTGTAATTTGTTCATGGTCTTGTTGGCCGGGGACAGTTGCCGCGTCAGTCAGGTGGTCTGAAATCACTGTCGCACAAATCCTAGGACCCCAATTGGTGATGCTTCCTCCTTCGATATCATGACACCTTCACGTCCAGCTGCCTTGGCCATGTTCTCGCGACCTTTCCTACGCCTGGCCGGGTGCCTACGATCCTTGCCTATTCTACAAGCTACTTCGAGGGCACAAACTCGCCTGTTTGTCACTTCCCGAATATCGAGAGCCGCATCAGCCAACCCTCGACCCAGTACAACAACACCAAGATACCCAAGTGCTTATATTACTATCCTCTTCGCTGGAGCTGCCTCCTTCTACGCAGCTTACTCCTTCGCCAAAGCTCCTCCCACGCGATGCGATGCTCCATCCGACGCCCGCGACCCTTCTCTCCCTCGGTATCGCATCTCTGAAGTCCGCAAGCACGATGCTCACTCAGACAACCCTTGGGTCATCCATGATGACAAGGTCTACGACATTACCGAGTGGATTGGCGCCCATCCTGGAGGAAACGTCATCCTCCGTGCTGCAGGCGGTTCTATAAACCCCTACTGGGACATTTTTGCCATCCACAAGAACCAATATGTTTATGATATATTGAATCAGTACCTCATTGGTTACGTCGACTCCGCGGACTTGGTCAATGGGAAGCCAGCACAAGAAGAGATTGAAGATCCGTTCGCTGATGACCCGAGTCGACATCCAGACTTGATCACTATGACGGATAAGCCCAGAAACGCAGAAACACCACCAGATGCCATGACGACAGAATTTCTGACCCCTAATGACCTCTTCTATGTTCGCAACCACATGTGGGTGCCGACAGTCCCCGAGAATGCCGATACACACACCCTCACTGTTGAACTTCCTGATGGCACAACAAAAGAATACACTCTAGGCGACCTCAAATCCCGCTTCCAACCTCGAAGGGTCACTGCTGTGCTTCAATGCTCTGGCAATCGCCGCCGCCACATGAATGAAGGTTCCGGACACAAGACGAGTGGCCTCCCCTGGACGGCCGGTGCCATATCCAATGCCTGCTGGGAAGGGGTCTTGCTCTCAGACGTACTCGCAGATGCTGGCTTTGACTTGTCATCTGGTCTAACCGGCGAGTCCGAGGCCAAACACGTTCAATTCTCCGGGTTAGAAGCATACGGCGCGTCAATTCCCATCAAGAAAGCCATTGACCCTCAAGGCGACGTTATTCTCGCCTACGGCATGAACGGCCAGCCACTCCCGCGTGACCACGGGTTTCCCCTGAGAGCTATCGTGCCCGGCCATGTAGCTGCACGCTCAGTCAAGTGGTTAAACCACATCACTCTCAGTGACGAGGAGAGCACGACGCAATGGCAGCGACGAGACTATAAATGCTTCGGACCCAATCAGACACATGTGGACTGGGATACTGCCCCTGCGATCCAAGAGTTACCAGTCCAAAGCGCCATCACAACCTGCAAACTCGGCGATTGGACAAGACCCGATAAGGATAGCTCAGAGGCACAAACAAAGAAAGCCGCGCTCACAGGCTACGCATACTCAGGGGGCGGTCGCTCCATCATCCGCGTTGATGTCTCCCTCGACAATGGCAAGACTTGGTCTCAAGCGTCTATCCTCCCCGACTGCACAACAAAGGACGGCGCCCCATCTCCCTGTCTCGGCCACGGCTCCTGGGCCTGGCGCCGCTGGAAGTTTGATGGCCATGTGCCGCTTACCGCATTTGAGGGAGATGAAGCGTCAAAGAGGGAGAAGCGATGTGCGACGTTTGTTGTCAAGGCCACGGATGAGTCCTATAACACGCAGCCAGAGAGCCATGCCGCCACATGGAATATCCGTGGGAATCTGGCTACAGCGTGGCATCGCATCAAGGTCTGCACTGAATGTCCTGCCGGGACAGGGAGTCAACCCCCAAAGAAGGGATAAAGTTGTATTGGAAATCATAGCGATACTCTTATCGAGTAGAGGCGTTTTGGTGTTGGGGAGTCTAGTAAACATGGCCTCGACCTTGCGTCGAGAGCTCCACGGGTGTTCCTTGTCAATCATCAAAAGTTGGTTATTACATCAAAAAGGTCCATTCATTAATCGACAAGGGTCGTCCCGTCATGATGGACAAGTCCGATACTTTCTATTCTTTGACCGTGTGCGCATCCCTCCGAGACGTATTATACACCATGGTGCCTTCGCCCAGAGCTCCTCTATTCCCTTCACTGACCCTTCTAGTTGTACAATCCAACTTTCCTCCGGAACATAGCCTGCCAGTAGTATACATAGCATGCTCCTGTCCATCTTGAAGAGACGCCCGGTGCCAGCAGATTACCCTTATTCTTCCTCCTCATCATCATCGTCATCACCGTCGGAGAAGTATTCGAACTCACGAGGTGTCTTGGCCTCCTCGTCGCCCTCATTATCCTCATCAACTGCCGTTAGCACACCCGCGGCCGCGGCAGCGCCAGATCCCACATTGCCGGGGGTCTGAGGTTCAGCTCCCAGGTGGGCAAAGCCTCGGCTCTGGTTGCGCAGGAGCTGTCCGATCATGGCGCTGTTGGATCCTGGCCGCGAGGGGTCGACAAGACCGTCAAGCAGCGACCGTCTCTGGTCAGATCGTCCACCACGGGTGGCTTGCTGACCAACAACAGGGGCCCGCTCAGTCGTCACCTTCTTGAGCTTCTCTTCCAGAAGGGACTTTTCTTCATCTGGCTGCGTGTCATGGAGCAGCAGAGGGCCACCGGTAGGCTATAAAGCGTTAGTTCAACTCGTCCCGACTATTAGATCAGTGTATCTCACCTTCTTGACGGGCTTGTATCGGCCAGCCGGAAAGCTGATGTACTTCAGCTGGCCAGGGAGGACTCGTGTCATGTTCTCAATCTCGTAGCCAACCTTCTCCTTTTCAGGCTTCTTCTTGGTGTCAGTCGAGGCGGTCGCTTCCTTCTCTTGACCCTCCTTCTTGTCCTTGGTCTCTTCTGTCTTCTTCTCCTCATCCACGTCCATCTTGTCCCCGACGTTCTTAGGGGGGGCGCTATCGATGTCCATGCTCTCTCTTCGCTGAGCGCGTTCCTTCTTCTGGGCACGTCGCTTGGCCTGGGCGGTTGTCGAAAGGATAGCAGTAGCGATCAGAGCGGGTCCCTCCTCGGCCTTGACCTCCTGCTCGGGCGGGTACTCGAAGAGGCTGGGTCGTGTCGCGCAGTGGAACTTGAAGTCGGGGATCTCCAGGTCGTGGTCCAATCCGATGATGGATGTGGGCGAGAAGCTCAGGGACAGGAAGTGTGTGAAGGGGAACCAGTACCAGTATTGGGTGAAGACGGCCATACCAACAATACCAGCCATGTTGAGGTTACCCGTCTGGGTCTGGAGGCCAATGGTGCAGTTGCGGCCACCGGCATCGATGATACCCAGAGCGAGGGCAGCACCAAACTTGGTCATGGCATCTTCGTGGCGATCGCCAACCACCTTCTTGAGAGTCTTGCGGATGGACGAGACCTTGGGGTTGAGGACCTCATTCTGCTGGACGAGAATCATAGCAAGAGAGATCAGGGCTCCTTGTCGCACAAAGTCGGTGGGATCCTTCATCATGGGCTCAAGGAGGTCGATGGCCTCGTCAAGACCAGTGCCAGCGCAAGAGATACCAAGGGCCATGGCAGAACCATATCGGACGTGGGGGTTGTAAGACTCGGACAGGAGCTCAACCATGCGGGGGACACTGCTTGGCTTTCGGAAGAGAATGAAGCCCAAACTCATAACCGCGATTCGGCGCACATCGTCGTTGACGTCGCTCACGGCAATGTGGAGAAGCTTTCGGATGGCCTTGTTGCTGCCAGTGCCACAGTAGGCAAGGGCAACAGTCATGATACCGCCATATCGCAGTGTCGGATCAGGGTCGTTAAGAAGACCCTCGATGAGGACATCGGCTCCCTCCTGGCGACCGTACATGATGAGAGCCATACCAATGGCAAGACCGCGGACAGTCTTCTCGTGTGTAGTCTCATGGGCATAGGTGATCATGTCCTCCAGAGCCTTGCCGTTTCCGGTGCCCAGCATGATGAGACCCATGGACAGACCGACAGCCTCACCGTTGAGAGCAGAGTCCTGGAAAAGAACCTCTCGGAGCTTCTCAAAGATGTCCCAGTCCCCAGTGGCCATCCCGGCAATACCGAGACCAAGAGCACCACCATGCTGGACAACCTCCTCCTCCGCCTGGCCAAACTGCGTCTTAAGATAGTTCAAGGCCTCGTCGCCGTGGTTGGCATGGATAAGTCCATATGCGTAAAGGGCACCACCCTGGCTGAAGATAGAGCCACTGCTCAGCCCACCCTGCCTAGGAAGGTAGGGCTCAAGCAGCTTACGGGACTGGGTGAGGTTGCCTCGGTGAATGACACCAAGCGCAGCGGTAGCGGTGAACTTGGACCAATTGACAGCCTTGCCCAGCCACTCGAGGTTGTCGCGGAAGAACTTGTCGTTGGTAGTTCCCTGGTTCATAAAGGCATTGCAGAAGGTGACAGCGGTGTGGAAGATCGAGTTTCGGCCCTCGAGGCTATCGCGGACCTTGTTCAGAATGCTCAGATCGGTACGGTTGTTTCGGTAGAGGAACTCAAGGTTCAGGCGAATCGTCTTGCTGCCGTCGAGGATAGATTTGATGTTGCGGTAGACCTTGGCTGTCTCCTCAGGAAGCTCGTCCTCGGGAGCCTCCTGCTTGTTTTGCAGGAGAGATTGCTCTTCGTTGGATTCCTCGGCATTCTCGTCTGTGGCCGGCTTCTCCTGGACTCCAGAAGGAAGAGACGACATGACATTGCCCAAGAACTCCTGTGTTCCGTTGTCGTAGAGGTCAAAGGCAATTTGGTAGGCGTTTGCGATGGAGGTGCGATCCCCATTCTCCACAAGAGTGCGAAGCATACGAGAGGCTTCCACATCAGAGTTCAGGTACACGACACACTTGGCAATTGCAAAGTAGTCGGGATTGGGAATTTCGTTCAAGAGATCGAGAATCAAGCTCAAGATCTCAGTTCGGAAACCCCTCTCCTGGACAATGTCCATGCAGATGCCAAGAGTGTATTCCATCAAGTCCTCAGTGGGGCCAGGAGCGTTCTCCAGAGGGTTAGACTTGGCCTTCTTCTCGTCGTCACTCGCACGCTTGATGACTCGTCGAAGAACATCAAGGTTCCTGGCCTCGACGGCGATACCCACCACTTGCCTATACCGGCCCTCTTGGAGACAGCTCTCAAAAAGACTATCGATCACCCGTTGCAGCGAGTCGGTGGCTTGAGAGGGGAGCTCAGCGATAGAGCCGGATCGACCTTGCTTCAACGCAGGCTGGAAGCTCGCCTCGAGCATGGTGTTGTCGATGGAGTCCCGAGACAGAAGTGACTTGGGGGGCAGAGTCGTCTGTGAGAAAGGCGTTGTAGGCGACATCACAGCATCGGTGCCGCTGGCGAAGGTGGTAGCAAGCTCAGGGAGGTCGGTCGTCTTGGAGGCTTGGGGGGCCGACTTCTTGGCAGCAGTGGTGGCGATGTACTGGTCGACACACCTAGAGATGATAGTCTCTTCAAACTCGCCAGGAGCATCAAGCTTGAAGAGGTCGCCCGCGGCGAGCGCGAATACCATGCTGTCATTGTAGGCCTGGAGGTGGTAGTAGACCTTGGCAAGGACGAGGGCAGCAAGTTGCCGCTCGGGGAAGGACTCGTCTTCGTAGAGAGCCTCACTTGAAACACGAAAGTCAGTTTGTGGGAACACAGGAGCAGTAAGATCGAGTCGTGGCCATGACGTACATCTGGCTCAGCACAGCAGCAACCTCAGTCCAGACAGTGTCGATGTCATCGTTGAGGGTCTGCAGGGCGAAAACCTTGAGCTCCGGCTCCTCATCGGTGAGGAAGGCGAGGACGCCGGTCGCTGAGACGATACCAGGCATCTTGAGGGATCGCGACGGGTCGTAGGGACGTGCGAGTGAGGTCTGCAGCAGTGCGAGAGGCGACGCGAGCGGTTGCTGTGGCACAAGTGGTCGAGTTGAAGAAAAGGGACTATTTCCGTACAGGCCCAGGGGCATATGCAGAGCCCGAATACGGAAGAGTCGATGATGGGTTCAACAAAGGAGACGATAAGAGAATTGGTGGAATAAGAGAAAGATGGATCGGTTGGTGTTTTGCTCCAAAGAGTAACTCGAGGACGTCCACGTCAGGCACAGCTCTGCCTTGCAGCGGGTGCACGGACCAGCGAGAGCTTCTAGGCAGGTGCAAGATTACATAACTCCCCTCACTGACTCAGCACCCACGTGACTGTGGAGAGTATCGCATGGAAGCATCGCGAGATTCCGCGCGACAGGGGACATGTTGCGTCACAGAGACACGGCTGATAAAACGCGGCTTGACTCAGTATTCAGCGCAAAACGCGGGCGCGGGACATTCAATCTTGGCATAATTGAACAGCCACGCTGGGCGCCTCTGCCTTTGTTATCACAGAGACCAGTGAAACCCCAGAAGCACATGCAGTCTTGTACCGTCTCCAGGATGAGGACCTCTGCATTAACGAAATCGATGGATCTTTCAGCATCTTTTTCATTGCCAAATCGTAGTTCTGAGAGATTGATTGGACTTCAAGGTTCTTTTCACTCTCTCACGTGCCACTATCTAGTGCATATGCTTCCTAGAGCTCTATGCATCTTTCGGCCTCGGGGAGCAAAACGAAAGTAAGGCCAGAGCACAATGCGATCAGCAGCGTATTTGATTCCATGACTCACGACTTGCCATATCGGGGCTTTATCACAGATTAATACCCGCTCGGGACTTTTATTTTGCATCAGTATCAGGATGATCATCTATATCGTCACAGCTTAAGCACATAGGAGCTCCCCCAAGACCCCTACTGACAAGGATGACGTCGACGTACGAGCACGGAGCTTGAAACTTTTTGTAAACAAAAGCTTGCGATGAAGAGAAGTGCTCTATGAGGAATCACT